ATTATAATTAATCTCGTATTATCAGTTTCAGTTATTCTACTATATTTCTTTAATTTCCGTATTACTGTCTGTATCATGCTCGTTACTTAGTTTTAATCAATGATTGATGCACAATGACTTGATACACGTGTTTAATAACTTTTAGTCGCTTTTTTTTTATATTATATCAATCCAGAAATAGAAAATAAAAACGAGACAAATGTGATTGTTAAACCTATTGCAAATTATAAAAGAAACTGACATCTGCAATTATCGGGTCCTACATCTTCAAGTGGACATGATCAACACAAATATTTTGGGGTTTTAAAAACACCATTCGTATATAAAAAATATTTTTTCGCGATTTCTTTATTAATGAAAAATCCATTATGTCTGCAAAAGCTATTAGGGAATACGATGGGAAACTATTGTTAGAATACTGGCTTTTACGTTCTCCTTCTCTAATTGAAAGCTCGTCTGAATCTAAATTTGTTCCACTGGCTACTAAAGTGGCCCATGTTGGTTTCGATACTTCCATTTTAAAAGACACGCTTATTAATAATCCTCCCGTAGCTTTTAGTAACCATGTTCAACAAACTCTTAATATTCTTGAACAAACACATCCATGGTTATTAACTGATAAATTGGTAGTTAAACCAGATCAACTTATAAAAAGACGTGGAAAATCTGGTTTATTATTGCTGAACTCTGATTGGCAACAGGTTAAAGAATGGATCATTGAAAGAGCCGGTAAAGAAATTAAGGTGAATAAATCCTAAATAAGGATAATAAATTTGGGAAGCGATGTTTAACTTAATTTATTCATTTAGGTCGATAAAGTAACAGGAGTCTTAAAAACCTTTCTTGTTGAACCATTTGTACCTCATCCTTCCGATACCGAATATTATATCAATATTAATTCTGTCCGTGAAGGTGATTTTATTTTATTCACCCATGAAGGTGGTATTGAAGTGGGTGATGTTGATGCTAAGGCATTAAAGCTTTTAATTCCGGTGGATGATTCTTATCCAAGCCCACAAGAAATTAAGGAAAAACTATTAATAAATGTTTCTGATGCAAAGAAAAATGTCTTGGTAGACTTTATATCTCGTTTATATGCTGTATATGTTGATTTACATTTTACATACCTTGAAATCAATCCATTGGTGGTGCTTGATTCTACTTCTGATGATGAAGTACCAAAAATATTTTCTCTTGATTTGGCTGCGAAGTTAGATCAAACAGGTGAATTTGAAGCTGGGCCAAAATGGGCTATTGCTCGTGCTCCAAGTAATATAGGATTAGCAGTTAACACTAAGTCAACAAAGACTCATATTGATCAAGGACCTCCTATGGAGTTCCCTGCTCCCTTTGGTCGAGAATCAACCAGAGAGGAAGCTTATATTCAAGAATTAGATTCGAAAACTGGAGCATCATTAAAGTTAACCATTTTAAACAAAGACGGTAGAATATGGACCATGGTTGCTGGTGGTGGTGCTTCGGTCGTTTACAGGTAAAATTATTTATTTATTTATTTATTTTGTAATAAAATCTTGGAGCTCGTTATTCATTTAATTCTTTCCCTTTAAAACAGCGATGCGATTTCCGCATTAGGATTCGCCCATGAACTCGCCAATTATGGTGAATATTCTGGGGCACCAACTGAAACTCAAACTTATGAATATGCAAAAACTATTCTTGAATTAATGACTCGCAATCCTGTACCGCATCCTGATGGAAAGATTTTAATTATTGGTGGTGGTATTGCAAACTTTACCAATGTCGCAGTTACTTTTAAAGGCTTAATCCGTGCATTACAAGAATTCAAACAACCTTTAATTGCTCATAAGGTCAAAATTTTTGTAAGGCGTGGTGGTCCAAATTATCAAGAAGGGTTAAGAGCCATGAGGCAATTAGGGGATGAAATCGGTGTAGAAATTAGTGTGTTCGGCCCCGAAACACATATTACTGAAATTATACCTTTAGCCTTGTTGGGACATGGATCAGGACTTAATAATATAGTTACAGGTCAACTTGATTCTTCAGGAAATACTCTTCAAAATCAACTTTTTGGAACATCCACTCATTCATCAAAAGACAAAAAAGATATCAATGATTCTCTTGGTGCTAATGAAGAACCAAAGGATCTTTCTAGACCAACATCTCCTATAGCTGATCCACGAGAAAGGATGACGTTTTTTGAAAATCCTGGAATACGTCAAAGTCCTTGGTATTCCATATTTACAAGCGAAACGCGTGCCTTCGTGTATGGCATGCAACCACGTGCTGTACAAGGAATGTTGGATTTTGATTACATATGCAAACGTCAGATACCATCCGTGGCTGCTATGATTTATCCATTTGGTGGAAATCATGTGCAAAAGTTTTATTGGGGTACAAAAGAAACCTTATTAAGTGTTTTCAATAACTTTGAAGATGCAATCAAAAATTTTCCTGAAGCTGATACCGTTGTGAACTTTGCTTCTTCTCGATCAGTCTATGATTCTACCTTTGAGTTTTTCAAATACTCGAACCAAATTAAAACTATTGCCATAATTGCAGAAGGGGTTCCTGAGCGTCGTGCAAGACAAATCCTTCATGAAGCCGAGAAAAAAAAAGTTCTCATCATTGGTCCTGCGACTGTTGGTGGTATCAAACCGGGTTGTTTCAAAATTGGTAATACGGGTGGAATGATGGATAACATTGTTTCATCTAAATTATATCGACCTGGTTCAATAGCTTATGTATCAAAATCTGGTGGTATGTCCAATGAGTTGAATAATATCATTTCAAGGACAACAGATGGTGTATATGAAGGAGTTGCGATTGGTGGAGATCGTTATCCTGGATCAACATTTATTGACCATTTATTGCGTTTTGAGGGTGATCCAAAATGTAAAATCTTAGTTTTGCTTGGAGAAGTTGGTGGTGTCGAAGAATATAAAGTTTGTGAGGCTCTCAAAGATGGACGAATCAAGAAACCTTTGATTGCTTGGTGTATTGGTACTTGTGCTAAAATGTTTGCAACGGAAGTTCAATTTGGTCATGCAGGCGCATTAGCACAATCAGATCTTGAAACTGCTGATGCAAAAAATAATGCTCTTAGAGAAGTAGGTGGAATTGTTCCTGAAACATTTGAAAAATTACCATTAGCATTACATGAAACATATCAAAAACTTGTATTAGATGGTACTATTAAAGTAGTCTCTGAACCTGAAACGCCCAAAATACCTATTGATTATTCTTGGGCACAGGAACTTGGATTGGTTCGAAAACCTGCAAGTTTTGTGTCTACCATTTGCGATGACCGTGGTCAAGAGTTATTGTATGCAGGAATGAGAATTTCCGATGTATTCAAGGAAAATATTGGTATTGGTGGAGTTTTGAGCTTATTATGGTTTAAAAGAAGATTACCAGATTATGCTTGTACATTTATTGAAATGATACTTATGTTGACCGCAGATCACGGTCCTGCTGTTTCTGGGTATTCAATATATATTTTTTTCGTTTTGAATGTAATTTATTTCTATCAATTAATTTAAATTGATTAACCTTTTTTTTATAGTGCTCATAATACTATTGTCACTGCTCGAGCAGGAAAAGATCTTATATCAAGTTTATGCGCTGGCTTGTTAACAATCGTATGTCAAAGGTTTAGAGATATTTTAACATTTTTTTTTTTTTTTTGTAAATACTATATAAGAATTTCTTGTTAAATTTATGTAGGGAGACAGATTTGGTGGTGCTCTTGATGGAGCAGCTGAATTGTTTACAAGTGCGTATGATAAAGGGTTGACACCTCGTGAGTTTGTAGATTCGATGCGTAGGCAAAACAAATTGTTAGTTATTTCGAATTTAATAAGTTGAAATTCTTTTACAGTGACGATTATTTTAAAATAACATATATTTTTTAAATTTAGAATTCTTGGTATAGGACATAAAATCAAATCTCGTAATAATCCAGATCTTCGTGTAGAGATTATTAAAGAATTTGCCAAAAAGAACTTCCCTGCAACAAATTTGCTTGATTATGCCTTAGCTGTTGAAGAAATTACTACCACTAAAAAGGATTCGTTGATCCTTAATCTTGATGGTGCAATTGCAGCTTGTTTTGTCGACTTATTAAGAGAATCGGGTGCTTTTAGTAGAGAAGAGGCAGAAGAATATATTAATATTGGAGCCTTAAATGGATTATTTGTATTAGGAAGAAGTATAGGTTTCACTGGTTAGTGTTTACTTACCCTTTTTTAAAAAAAATTATAAGTGATGTATTTAATTATTTTTTTTTTATTTATTTTATTTTTATTTTTTTTTTTTTTTTAGGACATTATCTTGATCAAAGAAGACTCAAGCAAGGTTTATATCGTCATCCATGGGATGATATTTCTTATTTAGTTCCTGGAGTAGAACAAGGCCGTACTTTTGTTAGTCAAGATGTAGTTGCTCAAAAGGCCGAAAAGGGTGCTTAAAAACGATTAATTAAAACTAATTTAAAAACTAATAAATTAATTTATTTATAAATCTAATAATAAAGTTTTCATATATAAACTTTGATCACCTGATTCAGGAAAAAAAAAAAAAAATTATCCGGTCGAAAAGTTAATGATAATTCCCAATCCCTCATGTGTACGTTATAATGATCAGAGTTTTAAAAAAAGGGGTATCTGTTTATCACACCCCTCCTTGCTTTTTACATAAAATAAAATTAAAAGATATACAAGATAATTTATAATGTAGATTTTTAGTATATCATGATTTTGATTGTGAAAACTTCGATTCCAACCTTATTTTACAACAAACAACGGATCAGATAAGGTGATCGTAACCTTTATGGCGCCAAAATTCAATTTTGGTAAAGCAAATTTAGCTCCTCCAACATTTAAATGTTTTATTTTTTAACGTCCAATTGAAACTGCGACTACTAAATTTGAAAAGGCTTATTTAAAAAAAATAATCTGCACGGATTTTCTATAAAAAATGACATTTCATTAAAAGTACGTGATCAATTTATTTTGCAACCGATGGAGGATTCTGAAAGGCCACAAGCAATACGCTCGCATTCGGTGTTGACAATTACAACCTTAACGCCGCAGATAGTGGGTAGTAGCTCTAGCGCTAACGATGATATTATCTCCGAAGACCCTTATTACGATAATGAGTTAACTTTAACAGGCGATGAACTTTTTAGAGCTGTTCAAAAAGTTACCTCGGCAAATAACAAAAACGAGTACACTAAAGAATTTAATGGCAAAGTGGGACTAGAAAAACCGGAGAAACCAAAAGTACCAAAAAGACATTTATTTCGACCAACATGGTCTAATATAAGGAAAGGATTTCTTCATGTATACTTATATATTATGAGAAAAGCAACCTGGCCAATGGCGAAGAGAGTAATAAAAGCGGCCGTAGCTTACTGGCTTGCTTATGTGATTGACCTGATTGTACCTGTAATGAAATCAGTAGGCTCTTATACTTTCTTAGCCATTGTCATGGTCTGCTACTTTCAACCTTCGAGAACTTTTGGCTCGCTATTTGAGGTTAGTTAAAAAAATAAAAATAAATGGGAATAGTTTCTCATTAAACACGTGATTGTTTGATCATCACAATTCTTTATCTGTTATCGTTTAAATTAAATAAATAGAGTGCCGGTTGGGGTATTATTGCAGCATGCATGGCAACAGCATGGTCTTTAACTGGTATTACATTATCTAATGCAGTACGTGATCCAAGCCAAATCTTTGATATCTGGGCTACGATAATACATGTTTCTTTCTTAGCGGTCGGAACATTTGTCTTATCATATGATAAAATTAAATGGCCACCGATGCGATATGGTGCCATCAATGCGTGCATCATCATGACCTTTTCTTTAACACAAGCTTACGTAAGATCTCACGATACATATCATATCATGGTAAGTAGTATCATTTATATAGTTATTGTTCCGGCACGTTACATTTCCTTTTTTTTACTCTTGTTGTTCATTTATTTAGAAATCCTTGTTAATTCCAATGTTGATCGGACCTGCATGCTCTCTCTTGGTTAATATCACTTTATGGCCAGAACATGCTACGACAAATTATATTCCATACTTACACGAAACTTTACAGAGCTTTATTGATTTACTTGATCAAGAAACTCATTTTTTCCTTCGAGATACTTACAATAGAAATACTATCGCTAAACTTCATAGGACAGTACAAGATAATCTTGCAAATCTTGACAAAGCAAGACAAGAAGCTCAACATGAAGTCTCCTTTTCGAAAATTGGACCAGAAGATATTTTGGAAATAACTAGACTCATTAAATCTATGAATATGACATTAGGAGGATTGGCCTTAAGTGGTGTAATCGAAGAAGAATTAATGAGGGATGGGCAAGAAGGCACTGTAGAAATTCGGATTGATGGTAATAATACTGATCGACAATCAATTACGGATCAAGCATCTTTTAGTATAGACGAACCTCTTTCGCCCACCAGTACCATAGGAACAATTGCTAATGAAGAGGATCTTACGAACCTTTTAAAGATCCTTCAACCTATTTGTACTGAACTTTCAGAAGCATGTCAATTGTGTTTAGCAGATTGTATTGCACGTGTGGATCATCTGCAACACAATTGTTGTGACCCATGGTATTACCGATGGTGGCCATTCAAACTTAAGCCTAGAGCGGATCATAATAAAAACGTTCTTGATGATCCTTTTGGTTACTTACAGGAGGCCATTGCAAATTTCAATGATTCACGTGAGGAAAGTTTGACTCGTTTGTTTGCTAATACGAGAACAATCAGTCCTTCGCCACAGAGATTATTATTGTTGCTGATCCTATTTGAGAATAGTCTTAAAGAGGTTGCTGAGAGTCTTGGCTTCTTGGTAGGATTAGTTAAAGTTCTTTCAACTACAAGGCAATCCAAGAAATTTTGGTTCCCTATGATACCGATTTTGAAACGAATAAGAAATTTTGGTGAAATTGATGAAGATGGTTGGAAAATTTTTGAACATAAAACTAGACAAGAGGAGGAGGAAGAACTTGGAAATGAAGTTTTTGATCCTGATGTAACTCCGCCATCAAATTCAATTCAAAAATTCTGGTATAATCTTTGGCGTATAAGAAACTGGTTTGATAGTAAATACGCGGTATTTGCCTTCAAGAACGCTTTGGTTGTTACCTGTCTAAGTTTACCGGCATTCTTACCCGAATCTTCTAAGTGGTTCGATATTTATCGCGGTCAGGTGAGTGGAGATTATTTATATATATATATATATATATATATATATATCTAAAACGGTATTATTAAAAATTATAATAATTTATTTCTTTGCGATAATAGTGGGCAGTTGTTAGTGCCGTACTTTCGTTTGCACCAACGACCGGTGGCGCAGTCCTTCAATTCTTGGGTCGACTTCTCGGTGTGGGTACAGGTGCCGTAATGGCATTAATAGCATGGAAAATGACTAATGGCAACGTATATGGTTTGGCATCTGTCTTGTTCTTATTTTCTCTTCTCCTTTGGTTTGTCTACCTGAACGCGAAAGTATGGACTGTTGGTGGTATTATTATGTTGGTGAACTTCCCATTGGTTCTTACAAATGCATATCAAGCCAGTCATGGTATCGGTGTTGATGATATTTACACTATAGCTGCAAAGGTTTGTAATAAATAAATTATTTTTTATCTCGTAGATTAAATTTTGAAATTTTTTATAATTAAATATTATATTTATCTTTATATATAAAAACAGCGAACGACAGCCGTAAGCATTGGTATTACAGCAGCTTTTGTCATGAATATGATTCCTTGGCCCCACACTGGACGTGTCGAAGTTCGCCATCGACTCGCACGCACAATCGCAGATATTGGAGTTCTTTATTCAATGACGGTTTCTTACCTTATTAAGGGAGATAAGTATTCCGGTAATCTTATAACGACAAAACCATTCCGAAAACTTGTCACTAGAATTAATCGATCCATAGCTATCGAACGATTGCTTTTATCTCGTACGGTGTACGAACCTCCATTAAGAGGAAATTATCCTATGGAAAAATATGCTCATATGATAGAGATTGTAGAACATATGGTCAATCTTGTAAGCGGAATAGAATATACATTACATGGATTAAATGGAACTGAATGGAAAACAGATTTAGCTGATGTTTTAAATCCATCGAAATGTCATTATATCACACATATTTTGACAGCCTTTCATATTTTATCAACAGCGTTGGAAAATCGAGTCCCTTTACCACCCTATAATATTGTTTCTTCAACTGAGACAAAGTTTGGACAAGTTAGTCTAGGTTATAGAATTTCAAAAAAGATTAGACAGACAGCTTCTGGGTTAACAAGAGATGATCTAGAGACACCAGCTTATGCTTGCTATTGTTCCTATCTTATAAAAACAAGTCATCTTACAAATGAACTTATTAAATTGGTGTCTGCTGTAAAGTCTTTGGTTGGAGTTAATCGATATGTTAAAGAATTGGTAGACTTTTAAAAAGAAAATGTTTTATTCCTCAACAACTCCACTTGTGTAAAAATCTTTTGTATATTGTAAAATATTATACAATTATTATATCGCTAATTTAGATTTTGTTTTTTCCTGTAAAATAATATTTATATAAATAACATCATAATTCACTAAATTTATATATTACATAATTTCATTATATTATTATTATTAATTATTATTATTATTTATTATTATTATTTGAATTATGTATATGAACGCTCCTACTAGAAATATATATGATATGGTATTTCCAGAAAAAATGGCTTGGAGTATCTCCATTGTTAAAACACCCCGGAGAATCTCATATATTGCGACGAAAGCAACGAAAATGAGAAATAAGATGGCGTCGAAAGTGAATGAAATCATTTTTTATTGGAGAGGTTTATTAGGTATTTGTTGATTTAGAAGTCGCGAAAGATATTTCGATAGTTTTATGCTCAATAAAAAATTGATTTGATTGATTTGGAGCAGAGTACTTGTTAGAATATTTTAAGGACTGATTGAATTATGCGTTTGCAAAATGAATATATTACTATTTGTTTCTCTTACCAGACGCCTCCGATATATCCAGTATTTTTATAATAAAGATTCCTCCGCAGTTAAGAGCTATGATCGTTGCAAAACATGAAAGTCCCCCGGATCTTCGCTGGAAAATCCTATACTCTTTAATCTGCGGATCCAGATTTCCTAAATTACCCTCTATTAATACGCATACTCTAAAATTAGTATATAGATTCCAGAGGAATCACACCAATCACCTCCCATACGAGAAAAATAATTGACTATATTTCGCGGGTCACCAGTACCCTAAACGTTTTTTATTTGCAATACATTGAGCTAAAAATAAATTACATGATGCGGGACTAGCCCAGGGTACATGATGACACTCTATTCTTTGACTGCAGACTAAAATACATGATTATACCCTCTTTCTTCATCGCCGGCTCCTTCTCAACATCCACCCTATCCCAACATTATTCCATAATCTATTTCATTTATGCCTTCATGATGCTAAAGAGACCCTCCAAACTCTTGAATGAAAGGATATTAACTAAGTATTAGTTTACAGCTTTGAAGACGCTTCCTTGCAAATGTACTGCCACAACCGAGCGAAATAAGTATTCCCACCTTGATTGCGCAATATCTTGTCCGGAACTTCGTCTCCAGTATTTTTTTCGCCGGCACTTCTTCACACTGCGATATCGTGAGTATCGCCACAATTGATGCTGGTTTACTAGAAATATCCCACCATTAATTATCATGAAATAATTGAAGTACCTGTGAATCATCCGATTGTAATACTAAAGTCAAAATTCCCGTCTTTATGAGGAGAACTTCCAATTTTCTCATTTTCGCATTTATTATTATTATCAACCTCTTTATAGAGCTTGAAGTTGCATCTGTCTCTTCTCGCCTCAAAAATAATAATAAGTCAGTTAATGTTAAAAGTATGAAATATAATTATTTATAATTCGAACCATGTAGGTTTCCATTGATTCGTAATTGTACCACGTGCGGAAAAGTCCATGGCCCAATCTTTGATCATCCAGAATTGCATATCGATGGCTTTATATAACCAAATTTTCTAACAGTAAAAAATAAAATGTGTAAATACAAATAAATAATACAACAAAAGATTTCACATAATTCTTATAAAGTATCATAAAGTATTATATTATAATCAAGAGTATAGCCAGTCTTTTAAGCGAAAATTTCCGCATATTAAAAAATATATTTTTGTATATAACTAACTAGGTAGATTACTTATTACTCAATAAAAAGAATATATAACGAAGAACCATCCTCGCCTTCTTTGGGGAGAATATACTCCACAAAAAAGGGTAACCTACAAGTTAGTTCGTCATAAATATGCAACAGCTCTTATGCAAACTACTTATACAGTCAAGACGTATAACGAAGAACCATCCTCGCCTTCTTTGGGGAGAATATACTCCACAAAAAAAGGTAGATTACACAAGACTTTGCAGATTTTAATCATCTTACGATTAAGTTGAAAGTATTTAAAATTTAAACTCGCCTTAACAGAGAAACGCGTCTTGATGAAAACTGAAAAAGCATATCAGTCACTGGTCATTTCCGGAATCAGGGGGGTCAAATGGATTTACTAATTAAATATGCAGCTTGTCGATCACTT